CCAGCAGTCCCCACTGGCCACATTCAGTAGTTACCAACCCATGGCCACTCTCCTCACATCTCTATCTCTGCCCTTTGCCCTTCCCAGCTTATTTTGAGGCAAATTCCAAACTTCATTTATAAATCAATTATGGATCTGAAGTCCTTATGTAACCCCCTCTAGAAAATGAATTTCTGATTAGGGTACTTCAATTGCTCTCTAATTCCCCTACAGTGTGAGTGCCTAATTAGAGTTCTTCAAATGGGAACAGCCCCTAGGGTGTAGATTAAAGCTAATCTATGTGTCCACACATTGGGGACTAGTCATACTAAAGTAGTTGAAAGTGAATCACCATACAGACCTCCTAAACACTGTGAAACTCAAATGACTGAGAACTACTGGGTTTTGTTGTATGACTAGCAGAGGATTAAGAGAGAAAATACTCGAGTTGATATGTTTTACTCTTGTGAGAAGAGAGTCATGAGGGGCAAAAAAGGTATTTTGTGGATCTGTCTCCACAAAATACCTTTTAATGGCTGTTCTTGTGGAAATGTGTACAATGCTTTTGTGCTCACCTAAGAGAATTCTCTCAGTGTGGCAAGAGTTCAGAATGACCTTGGGGGGATAGAGAGAGGAAAAGGTGACACAAGTTGACAGAGAGAGGGTCAGGCCTTCACTCCTGCCATTGCGTCACAATCCTCTTTCACATAAGTGGTAAAAGAAAGGCTGTGTCTGCTACTCTCCTGGGCAGGGGAGGTTTTAAATCCCTTGTACCACTGAATCTTTTGATAGTCTGAAATTTGTGGACTCCCTCTCGGAATAGTAATAGTGGATTTTTTGGGGGGGGCATTTCTGGGGCTTGAACTCAAGGCTTGAGCACTATCCCTGAGCTGCTTTTGCTCAAGGCTAGCACTCTACCATATGACCCATAGTGACACTTCTGCATTTTTCTGTATGTGGTGCTGAGGAATCAGGCAAGCACTACCACTAAGCCACATTCCCAGCGCACTTCTCTTTTTTCTTTCTGTGTTGGTTATAAGACTGTGTGCTGTCCTTGAGCTTTTTAGCTCAAGGCTAGCACTCTAACCACTTTGTGCCACAGCTGCAATTCTGGTTTTTGAGTGGTTAATTGGAAATAAGAGTCTCATGGGGACATTTCTGCCTGGTCCGGCTTTGAGTCACATCCTCAGATCTCAGCCTCCTAAGTAGCTAGGATTATAGTTGTGAGCGAGCATAGCCTGGCATTGAAATCATTTTCTTAAATACATAAAAGAAAATACACAGGATTAAAAAGAAGCCAATTATGTTGCAGTATAGTTACCAAAATATTTTAAACATGTGGTGCAACAATAAAAATTGTTCTTTTATTGACACATTAAGTAACAAGATCTTGTGGCAGGTATAATTAATATAATTTGGAAGTGGGAGTGAGTATAAACTATGTTGAGATATCTGCAACAACTCTAAGGTGATACAAAAATAAGTAAATTCTTTAGGTGACAAAATTCATAGGAATTGCTGGTTTGTTGTTTTGTTTTGTTCAGTCATTGGGCTTGAAGTCATGGCCTGTATGCTGTCCCTGAGCTTTTTCACTAAAGGCTAGCACTCTACCATTTTGAGCTACAGTGCCACTTCTGACTTTCTGATGGTTAATTAAGGTAACAGTGCCATGGACTTTCTTGCCCAAGCTGGCTGTGAACCACGATCCTGATCTCAGCCTCCTTCCTGAGTTGTTAGAATTACAGGCGTGGGCCACCAGTGCCCAGCTTACACTAGGTTCATTGCTTTGTATGTTCACCATGGAGGGAGTGTTCATTTGCAGTGAGCGTAAATAAGCCCCTTTTCTCTGACCCAAGTTTAAAAAACATCTTCCACTCAAAAACTGTATCTACAAGCTCTCTTCCTACCAAGGAACCCCAGAATCTTGGCTAAGACTCTAATGCCAGGGGAGTTCAAATGAGTGGTTTATGTTGTAAAGTCCATAACCGTCTATGCTGGACATAGAAATGCAGGAATAAAGAAGCCACATTTGGGGCTGGGGAATGTGGCTTAGTGGTAGAGTGCTTGCCTTGCATACATGAAGCCCTGGGTTCGATTCCTCAGTACCACATACACAGAAAAAGCTGGAAATAGTGCTGTGGCTCAGGTGGTAGAGTGCTAGCCTTGAGTAACAGAAGCTCAGGAACAGTGCTCAGGTCCTGAGTTCAAGTCCCAGGACTGGCAAAAAAAAAAAAAAAAGATCCCACATTTGGCAGGTACAATGACAACTTACTATGCTCAGGAGTCCAGGAGAGGGACAGAGGTCTCTTGGAAGAGGGATGCCTGAAATGCAAATGTATATTGAGATATGTGTATCAATATTTGATTTGAAATCAAAGTGAACTTGGATCTTAGTATGGTGGTGCACAATGGAGATTGTGGGCGAACTGTCCCTATTATTCTCTCCATCTTACCTTGGGGTCAATCTATGTTACAGCTTGAGATGCCCTTCACTCCTCAACACGCGTACACTCAGTTCTTTCCTATGAGCCTCTTTCTTATTTAGGCAGTACTGGGGTTTGAACTCAGGGCTTTAGGTACTCTGGTGGAACCATACCTCCAAGTCCTTTTTGCCTTTTTTTGGGTGTGTGTGTGCAGGTCCTGGGGTTTGAATTCAAGGCCTGGGTGCTGTCGCTGAGCTTATTTTTTTCTTAACACTCTATCAAATTGAACCACAGGTCCACTTCTGGCTTTATGGTAGTTGGTGATAAGAGTGTCATGGACTTTCTGCCCTGGCTGGTTTTGAATCTTGATCCTCAAATCTCAGACTCCTGAGTAGTTGTGGTTATAGGCATGAGCCGTCAATATCCAGATTTGTGATTTTTTTTTTAATACTTCAGGAAGCTTGATGAAGAACTCCATTTATCACTAAAATCTCTTGATCTTACATAGCAATAAATAACATCCATCACTGGTGAAATTCAATGTATCAAATCAGAAACTTCTCATAAGGACATGTTAAACTCCTTCCCATCTACGCCTTCAGCAGTCAGACATGACATGCACACCATATTACTCTCCCCTTTTCTTTTGGATCTCTCCCACCCCCTTTTTTTGGTGCCAGTCCTGGGCCTTGAACCCAGGACCTTGGCACTGTCCCTGACCTTTTCTTGCTCAAGGCTAGCATTCTATCACTTAAACCATAGCTCCATTTCTAGCTTTTGGGATAGTTTGTTGAGACAAGAGTCTCGCAGGTTTTCTGGCCAGAGCTGGCCTTAAACGGCTATGCTACCTCAGCTTCCTGTGAAGCTAGGATTACAGGCATGAGTCATGTGTGTTTGGCCTGTTCTGGACCTCTGGAAGACCTCAGGTATTGTCAAAGTCAGAACCAGAAATGGCCTAAGTCACCAATCCCTGGATTATTATGAACAGAACCATTTTGTTCAGGACTGTAATGATCCTGGAAAATTTATTGTTGTAGCCATTCCCAAGACAGTGCTGGCCAGGGACAACCTACTGCAGGGAAGGTGGAAATGTGACTCGCCTGAGGAGACGCTTCTCTACTTGTTGTTTCCATATTCTAGCAGTACCCCAAAGTCTCAAGTGGCCCTTGGTGGCAGGAGGCCCTTAGGGCATTGTGGGTGTGCACTCAGAAAGGATGGTGGGACACCACCCATTTGGTTTCCTGTTTTGAGATGAGATCTTACATGTTCTTCATTCAAGATGGGACTTATACTATGCCATTTGGACTTGAAGCCTTAAAATAGGAGCTAAACAACCTTTTCTCCTTATAAAGCTTGCTGGCTTCACATAGTCTATCATAGTAATGAAAAGTGGGAAAATGTAAACAAGTACTCTGTTGCCATTTGAGATATGGCTAATAACTTACTGAATTTCAAAGAAGTATGGTCACTGAATGAAAAATGTTAGGAGGATTGTCTAAAATTTGTTCCTAATTCTGGGGGGGATTTTGTTTGTTTTGGGGCTAAGGAATGGGTCCAGAGCCTTGCACATAGTAGTGCTTTACCACTTGAGTCATGTCCCCAGTCCATTAGATAATAGTTTTGAAGCTTTAAACGCTGGCTTTTTTCTCAGGAATATTTTTTAGGTACCATCATACTTTTTCAAAAAAATTTCAACATTTATACTAGTCAAATTAGGAATAACAAAAATTTCTAGTAAATTTTTATTTATTATAATGTCCACCTTTTCACAGCTTGAAAAAAAATTCCATGATATTAATTGATCTGTATGTTATTTTCTTTTAGAATGTCCCTTTTTTCATTGAAATAATTTCTAAACCACTCTATGTGTTCAACCTTCTGTTTAACACTCAGATATGGGTTTTTAGAAAGGCCACATGTCACCAGCTCCATGAAGTGGCGGATGGGACCTTGTTTTGGAAAACCTTCAAGGTACTTATCCAGAAATACATGCTCATGAAATTCTGAACCATCATCGTCAAAACCTAGAAAACAAGACAAAATAAGTCACATTATAATGTTGAATGTGAAGCCTAAATCACAGATTTAATATCAACAAGATAACATATAACATGAAGGCATAAACCTTGGAGGTAGACCTAGGTTTAATCACAAATTTAATAACTCTAATTTCTGGCAAATTAACTTCTCCGAGTGTTAAGTTTCCTTAGGAATAATATGAAGGTTAAAAAAATAGGTTCTAGGGTTTTTTTTTTAATAAAGATTAACTACAGACAAGAATGTCTAACCAAGCTGGGTGCCCATGGCTCACACTTGTAATCCTAGCTACTCAGTAGGTTGAGAACTGAGGATTGGGGTTCAAAGCCAGCCCAGGCAGGAAAGTTTGTGAGACTCTAATCTCCAATAAACCACCAGAAAACCAGAAGTGGCACTGTGGCTAAAGTGCTAGAGCACTTGCCTTGAGCTGAAGGCCTGAGGGACAGCACCCAGGCCCAGAATTCAAGCCCCACGACCAACAAAAAAAAAAAAAAAAACCAAAAACAAAATATGTATCCCAAACTAAACATCCAAAGTATAGAAGCATTAGTTGCTAATGAGATGTAATTTTTTATTCTTGGGAAAAACACAACCCAGGAAGTAAAATGTGAACAACAGGATGTATCACTGTGTCATTTTCTTTATTATGTCTCAAATGACACAGTGAGCCACTATAGACAAAACATCTTTCTCCAACAGCATCAAGTTTTGCATCAAAGTATGGAAGCTCCAGGTTACAAAGCCAGTCTCCTAAAGTATTCATAGGTTTCCAAGTTTGTACTGAGCAGTGATCTATGAGTTTCCTGTTTCCTTTGGATAAGCATTGCTTAAGGAGCTGGAATGAGACACCTTGCTTTACATAGTTAAAGACATTAACCCAAAAACATGTATGGCATATGTGGTACTTTTCAAAATTATCTTGTTAAAATTATGTCCCCCCCCACTGGGTGACACTGGCTCACACCTGTAATACTAGCTACTCAGGAGGCTCAAATCTGAGAATCACGTTCAAAGCTGGCCTGGGGAAAAAAGTCCATGAGACTGTTATTTCCAATTAATCACTCAAAAACTGGAAGTGATTCTGTGGCTCAAGTGTAGACCACTAGCCTTGACCACAAAGATGATCAGGGACAGCATCCAGACCCTTAAGTTTAAGTCTTGCAATTGACAAAAAATAAAATTTCCCAAAAACATCTGTTTTTTAGACCTTAAAACTGGGCTGGGAAGGTGGCTCAGTGGTAGAGTGCTTGCCTCGCATGCAGAAAAAGCCGGAAGTGGCGCTGTGGTTCCAGTGGTATAGCACTAGCCTTGAGCTGAAGAGCTGAGGGACAGAGCCCAGGCCCAGAGTTCAGGCCCCATGACTGGCAAAAAAACAAAACAAAACAAAAAATAGACCTTAAAACTTCCTCAAAAGTCAAATTTTATCCACCATCATGCCCAGCTTTATTGGTTGAGATGAGGCCTTACTAACTTATTGCTGGGGATGGCCTTGAGCTGCAATCCTCCAGAGTAGATGGGACTCTAGGTGTGAGCCACAGTGCCTAGCCCTCCCAACTTGCATTCAGCAGCTTACACAAGTACCTTGCATCACCTTAAGGCAATGGTTTCATGAAGTTAAAACACCACTATGAGAATCTAAGAGTTATAGCCAGGTGTCAGTGGCTTACACCTGTAATTCTAGCTACACAGGAGGCTGAGATGTAAAGATTGTGGTTCAAAGCCAGCTCGGGCAGGGAAGTCTGTGAAACTCTTTATCTCCAATTACCCACCAGAAAACAGGAAGTGGAGCTGTGGCTCAAGTGATAGAGCAATTGCCTTGAACTGAACAACTCAGGATAGTACCCAAGCCCAGAGTTCAAGCCCCATGACTGACTGGAAAAAAAATAAAAAAATAAAAAAAAAGAAAAGAATCTAAGAGTTGCAACATTCTCCAAAATTAAACAATAATTTCAAATCTAATGCTGTATATATTAGAAAACACACCAAGAAACGTCCCACTTGCAACTAGAAACTTTGATTTGTAATCCTTCATCCTTTTATCCTTAAATAAAACATTACTGGGGTTTGAGGAATGGCTCAAGGGATAGAGAGCACTACTTAGCAAGCCTTGAGTTCTAGCCCCTGAGAGCAAAACAGCATTAATTTGCTGACATCATAAAGCTATCTACACTGTTTTGAGACTCATAAATCTCTATATTGTAAAATGTAACATCTTTCAGAAATATCTACATGTTGGAAACATCTGAAGGTAGCACTTACCTGCCTCATTGTTGATTGGGAACTCCCATAGCTTGCCCTCCTTGGTCCACTGGATCATCTCCTCAAACCCATTCTGAAAGGGCTGTTCATTTACTGTGGCTAACTGCTTCGCAAATTCTATCTCCCAAAGGGAAGGCGGTGTCTCTGTGTCATAAAAAAACTTTAAGTAAGCACAAGGCAATGTAAATGTCTTTCTTCTTAAAGATGTTATCAACTTGGAAGTGTATCTATTTGTTAATCTTGATATTCCTAATTAAACAGTATACAATGAGAACTAAAATTGTAAAAGAAAAAATATATAAAGACTACAATAATGGCAAATCTTAATTCTGGCTGTGTACGCATGGGCATGTGCAAGCGCACGTGTGCATACATTTACATGCTAGTACTGGTGCTTGGAACTTGGGACCTGGGTGCTATGCCTTAGCTTTTTTGCTCAAAGCTGGAGCTCTGCCACTTGAGCTACAGCTCCATTACTGACATTTTGCTGGTCAATGTGGAGGTAAGTTTCATGGACTTTCCCATCCAGGTTTGCTTCAAATTATCCTCAGATCTTAGTCTCTTGAGTAGCTAGGATTACAGGCATGAACCACTGGCACCCAACTGGAAACCTTAGCTTTCATAGCACTGCAATGCCAAGTACTTATTATTTTTTACTGGGAAGGAAAAACAATGCATTTTTATTTATGATTGTGAAATGTACCTTTTTTTTTTTTTTTTTAATCATGGGGCTTGAACTCAGGGTGTGGGCACTGTTCTGAGCTTTTCTGCTCAAGGTTAGTACTCTACCACTTTGAGCCACAGTGCCACTCCAGTTTTCTGATAGTTAATCGGAAAATAGAGTCTCACAGACTCTGCTGCCCAGGCTGGTTCTGAACCATGATCCTCGTATTTCAGCCTATTAAGTAACTAGGATTATAGGTATGAGCCACAGGTGCCCAGGTTGAATATCTTTTATAAATGTGATCCTGATGCTTATAGTTCAGAATGTTAATTTTTAGTCTGTCAAAATTTATCACTGATGTAATATTACTACTAAAGACCAAAGTAGTTAAGCTAACTGAACAACAAAAATACTAAAGGGCTGGGCAGTTATGGCTCACTCTTATAAATTCTAGCTACTCAAGAGGCTGAGATCTGAGGATCAAGGTTCAAAACCAGTCCAGGAAGACAAAAATCTGAGATTTTTATCTTCCTGGACTGGTTTTGAACCTTGTTAAACAGCACAAAGCAGAAAGTGAAGGTATGGCTCAATTGGTAGAACACCCACCTTGAGTGGAAAAGAATGAAGGAAAAGCTCAAGTACCAGCACAAGAAAAGGAAACAGAATCTAAGGGATACTGAATGCTGTGGTATATCAATATAATTTTCATAACCAACTCTATGAGTAAGGTAATATAGTGGCTCTCTAGTACCATGTTACCATGCTACAAGCTTCATTATTTGCTTTTGAAATTTAAGTCTTTTAGGAATGAGTCATATTCTTACCAGCCACATACAAGGACACTGAGAAAACAGTTTGATAGCTTCTTTCTTCATTTTTTTTTTTTTTTGCTAGTCCTGGGGCTTGAACTCAGGGCCTGGGTACTGTCTCTAAGCTTTCTTTTGCTCAAGGCTAGCACTCTACCACTTGAGCCACAGTACTACTTCTGGCTTCTTCTGTTTATGTGGTAGTGAGGAATTGAACCCAGAGCTTCATGCATGCTGGGCAAGCACTCTACCACTAAGCCACATTCCCAGCCTGAAAGTTTCTTAAGAAGTTAAGAATATACTTGCAAGCCGGGCACCAGTGGCTCATACCTGTTATCCTAGCTATTCAGGAGGCTGAGATCTGAGGATTGTGGTTCAAAGCCAGCCCAGGCAGGAAAGTCCCTGAGACTTTTCTCTAATAAACCACCAGAAAACTAGAAGTGATGCTTTGGCTAGAGTGGTAGCGCACTCTCCTTGAACTGAAGAGCTCAAGGACAGCTCCCAGGCCCCATGATTGACAAAAAAAAAAAAGAATATACCTTTGGTCCAACACAGGCATTTCACTCAGCATTTGCCCAAAGAGAAAAGATAACATATTCACACAAAAATTTATAAAAGTGGATTTTTTGGTCATGTGGGGGTTTTCTTAGTTTTTTTGTTTTTTGTTTTTTTTTCGGGGGTCAGCCGTGGGGCCTGAACTCTGGGCCTGGGCACTGTCCCTCAGCTCTTCAGCTCAAGGCTAACGCTCTACCACTTGAGCCACAGCACCACTTCCAGCCTTTTCTGCTTATGTGGTGCTGAGGAATCGAACCCAGGACCTCATGCATGCAAAGCAAGAATGCTACCACTGAGCTACCTTCCCAGCCCTTGTTATTGTTTTAGACAGTCTTACTATACAGGTACAGTCTGGTCTCTAAATCATGATCCCAAGCCTCTCCAAAGGTGGAGTAAAAGGCATGCAGAACCATACTCTCACACTCTCTAGTCTAATAGGTTTGTATAATCAAGAACAAAAGACATTCTTGGGCTGGGAATGTAGCTTGGTGGTTGAGTGTTTGCATGTATGAAACCCTGGGTTCGATTCCTCAGTTACACATAAACAGCAAAAGCTGGAAGTGGCGCTGTGGCTCAAGTGGTAGAGTGCTGGCCTTGAGTGAAAGAAGTTGAGAGGCAGTGCCCAGCCCCTGAGTTCAAA